GTTGCAAAGAGAGTGATGCCTTGACTCTTAATGAAGGCAATAGGGGACTCTTAAATGTACACCAGAAGTCCCATTGAATATATCTACTAAATATTACTACACCTAGGGTTCGGGAAACATTTTGGAATAGGAGGCACAAAAATTGTAAGAGCCAGATGACCAGAAACTTTGCCATGAGATCGTGTCTTCTATATAAGATGCCATCAAGTATCAACAACATGAGCAGTCTAAACAAGAACAATACCAAGGGTCACATGGAACTGGATAGAGGCAAGACCATGGCTCTTCAATACTACTCAGAGAACTACATGGAACTAAGTCAAGCCTGGAGCAGAAGATGAAGCCCTCCCAAAGATTACACAATTAGTTGTCTAGTGCCAAGTTGTGAGCCCTGAAAATATGCATATAAGTAATATTATAAGGACTCAATGGGTTCACTATATATATATACATATATATATATATACACACACACGCACAAATACACATATGTATGCAATAACAAATTGTGAAAAATGAGGTCATGAATTTGAAGGAGAGTATGGAAGGGTAAATAGAAGGTTAAGAGGGAGGAATGAAAAAGAAAAAAATGTAATTAAATTGCAATTTTAAAAAAAGCATCAAAATTAATTAAAATACACTAGAGAAAAAAATTTCAACCTTCAACAGCATTACCAGAAAAAAAAAAAAAAGCCAAGCCTCAATGTTCTTACCATGGTGTTCTTCCCTGGACATCGCAAGCTCCTCCACTAATAGAAGTAAGATGATTTGAGCAAAACTACTCAGTAGATCATTTATATTCCCTCTTATCCAGGAGAGCCTATTCCCCAGTATCATCTCCAGTTCTGCAGTAGAACACCCATGGTAACTTTCTTCCCCCTCTGTTCGCATCTTCTGTGGATATCTTAGGCATTCCCTTCCTCACCTCTCTGTACCATTTTGGTGCTTTATCCAGTCCCAACTCCACTAGGCACTTGAAACTAACTAACAGACCACTCCTATCAAGAAAGCAGGCAGGATCTCTGTATAATTTCCCCACTCCTTCTGTTCCTCTTGACATAATCCTCTAGTATCATCTCCAAAAGTATAGCAGGCCTTATGAGATAACCATTCCTCATTTCCTCCCCCGTTATATGGAGATAGAAAAGCCAAACACTCTGCTATCCTCCCTGCTATGGACCCTTTCAGACCCCAGCCTGTCCTTATCCTTAAGTGTCAGGTCTCAATCCCCAAAATATACTTTACGTGGAACCCCCAATGACAGTAATTATCAGATCCTAAAAAAATCTTGCAACACACAGGCATCACACTCTGAAAATCCAGAGAGAATATGGAAACCAATTAATAGTGTATTTTGTCTTCTAATGAAGACAAATGATAAATACGCACCTAGACCTATATGGATATTAGATCTCTAGATGCCAGTATGAAAACACAATCAATAACTTCCAGGGCAGTATGTTACCACGAGATTCAAGCTATCTTACCACAGCAGGCCCTGAATATTCCAACACGGACAAAGCCCATGAACAAACAGAGGAATAGATGGCGGGTGTGCTGGAGGGAATGGTAGGTAAAGCAGGAGGACGAGAGTAAGGGAGAATTATGGTTTCTATCTAAAATTAATAAAATCATATTGAAGAAAAGATTTATGACTGAGAAACCTTAGCAAATAAAGAAATTGGTTATTACGGCCCTGAGATCCACAGGGTGGGAATTCACTGCAGGCCATTACACAGTTCTACCAATGCCTACCTTGTTTGAGTGCTCAAGGAAGAAATTGCTGTTGAATGAGTATTTGGCACAGGGTGGCTAGCTCACATGGCATTGCTAACCCTGTGGAGAAGTGCTTTCTTATAGTACTGTCTTATAGTTTGGGAAAATGAGATAAGTAGTCAAAACAGCAAAAAAAAAATCTTTAAACAACAGCCTGTTAAAATGCTGTTTCAAAGTCTAAGTATTGCAGTACAAAATATTTTAAAAATATTTTGTTAGCCTTCAAGTGCTTGTTTCATAGTCAGCTTCTAAGGCAAGAGTGCTCCCCTAAAATTAACAAAGACATTACTTCCATAATGATGGAAACAATTTGTTTGTATAATAATCTCCCATTTCCTATATATGGAAATATAGTCAGTACAGTGAAAATAGAGAAGCCACAGTGAAGTAAGGTGGTGGGCATTACTTTAGGTATCCAGACAAAGAAAAAGACTAAGCCAGTCCCGTCAAAGCTGTCGACTGATGATGAAATGCATTATGATGAAGATTCCAGAGCCAGCACAAATGTGGCAGCACAGACTAAGAATAGGAGAACCTAGGAAAATTTCAAGAAAACACAAATAAGAATAGCAGAGCTTTGGTTTTATTTTTTTTCATTTCTGTATTCATAGCAATAGCAATATCTCTTATAAAGTAAGTACTCAATAGTATCTTCTTGAATAGGTGCATTACATATGAAGGAAACCTCATTGTAGTGAGAGAAATCGTGAAAGAGCTAGATCCTGAGCAGTTTTCAAGGAAGAATGGAATTGCAACAGACGGCTAGGCAGGGTGTTTAAATCAGGAAAATTATACTTGATAAAACACGGTTTAGCTTAATCCTATTCTTATACTTTGACAAACATTTTTTTTAAAAATTCATTTTACCTCCCATTTATCTACATTAACCTGTCATTAAGTATTGTCTTATGGCTATTTCATCTGTCTGTTGTTGTGGAACAGACTTCAGATGAGAGTGTTTTTGACACTGATTGAGTAAATGCTCTTTGGTGATCCTGTTTTGTCTATGGGATTAGGGATGGCTCATTGGTGGCGTTAATGGAGAAGTTGAAAATAATAGAAATGATATATGAACTCAATGTCCCTGACAAACCACACCTGAGATGTCAGAATAACATGGAAATTTAGTTAATAAATATATAAGTACAATGATGCAATTTGAGAAAATAAATTGAATATATTTTGCTTATCATATTTTGTGTTACTTATGCATCTAACACAGTATGCATTGAATTAAAAACAAGGCAAGGACTTTTGTAGTGTTCTCATTGAATAAACCTGAAACTTCATATAATTTCACTGTCCACGTTTTCATCTTTTAATTCCCACAGTTTATTACTCTTGACCCATTATTTTAGGATTAGAGAAAAACAGAGATTTGGTAACCCCTTAGTCATTCATTTACACAACAATGAATATTATTGTTATGAGATGTAATATCACAGATAGTGAGATACAAACATTTGCCATTGTTCTCAAAAATTCCAATAAATCTATGTGACTTAGGACAGGAATTTCAATGCATTTATATTAATAAGAATACATGAAAAGTTTCAGTGCAGAAGTAAGAAGGAAAATATACACCAATATTAATGCATATTATGTCTATGTTCCTTTGCTTCTTCAAAGTTAAATGTAATATTTATCATATTTCAAAATTACTCATCATTATGCTTTAACATGATACTAACTTGATTATAATGGAAGCGATATTTTATTTAAACCATACCACATAATACCATAAGCATAATTCTATATAAGCTTTAGAATTCTAGTTGAAATTTCTTTCAATAAATGTTTATTTAAAATAAAAACTTAGTGAGTAATGTAAGCAAATGAAATATTAACATTGAATTGTTTAAAAAAGAACACCATTAAAGCAAGTTGTCAGTGAAATAATTGAAAACTGGCCTTGTGAACATGATAGAGCAAATTTATTTATCTGTGCAAGACTTTTACCAACTGACAGGATTCCCCAAGCCTCAAATATTTACTACTTTAAACTTGTATGAACAAAAATGAGTGAATAATAAACATGAGCTAAAAAGAACAATTATAGACATGCTAAAGTGGGCTGGAGAACATCCTCAAAGAATTACACAAAGGACTACAGGTAACTAAGGAATAAATGAATAGCACACAAATTGATTACCTAATATCCAGTGGTCATCATTTAAAATGTTGTATCATGTAGTTAGGAATAAATACATATACATAAATGCATGTACAAGCAGTGAAAACATAGCCCAAGAATTTGAAAGAAAGGAGAGTGGTCTAAATAGGTTGGTGTTAAATAGGAAAGGTAGGGGGTAAATTGTGAAATTATATTATATTCTCAAATTTCAAATGAAAAAATTTAAAGTTCATTTTATATTTCTTTCATCTATGAAAAAATTATCTTAGGCATTTTTTGTTCCAATACAAGTAGTAATCAGCGCTGATGGATATCAGCAGTATACTAAAATATCCCCTGTATTTTTTTGTTCACACCGAAAAAATATTATAAAAAGCAGTTTCCATTTCAGAAATAAAAATAGGATGAAGGACTTATAATGATGACACAGTGAAACTATTTCAATTTCAACCTCATGGTGAGATCATTAGAGAATGACAACTTGTATGTAGAAATCATGTTTTATTAGCAGTCTAAACTAATGAGAATTGAAATTACATTTTTGAATACATAACCAAAAATTGCCCTACAGATATTGTGTTTTGACAGTGTGTTATTAATATTCCACTTAGAGAAATTTTCAATAAAAAAGAAAATTGAAGAGAGAAATTTCATTGGCTTGGACAAAAAATCTCCTGAAGCAATTTACTAAGACTCAAAAGAAATTGATCACATACCTTGCAAAATGCCTACTCTAAAAGTGTTTATTAATATAATACATATGATGTATAATATCAGAACTTTGTAAATATTTAATGAAAGAAAACTTTGATAACTTATAATTTGCATCGCATTGTAATCTTGCTACAAAAATTACTTTTTAAAATACAGTTAATTTCTCAAGATTCTTTCTAGAACAGAATTATGTAGTTTGTACAATTTGCAGTATATCAGGTTAAGAATCTTTAATTTCAATAATGACTACAGTCTAAAAATCCTAGACTTAAGGATGGCTGCTATATTTTGGTGGTATAATGCTTGTATTTCATGAATTAACTTTGAGTTCAATTCAGCACCAACGCAAAATAAGTTCATTAAGAACTAGATGGTTAAGACTATACTTTCAAGGATCATTTCTATAGTTCGTTACTAGAGAAGTTTTAATTTTAAAGGTCTTTGAGCCTATTATTCGTGATCCTAGAGAAGCTAAATAAGAAGACGAACCTGATGAAGATTATTTAGCTATCCGCCAGGAGGTAGGAAATAGTCAAGAGTCCCAGGTAACCTTGGGTGCATGGGGGAGGTGGGAGGGTTGTTGGAAGGGGAGAGGGTTAGAGAGAAGGGAGTAGGGGAGGAATGGGGAAAGCTCGGTTGACCAGGATGGGGGGAAGGGAGGAAGGATGAATATGGGATCAGGGAAGAATATATTTCAACTAAGGGAGTCATTTTAGGGTTTATAGGAAACTTGATTATATATGGGATCCCAGGTCCAAGGAGAGATCCCCAGATTGTTCTCTGGACAGAGGAGAGGGTGCCTGAACCGGCCTTGGCCCATAACCATACTGATGAATATTTTGCTTATCACCATAGATCCTTCATCTGGCGATGGATGGCGATACAGAAGGAGTCCCACATTGGAGCACCGGACTGAGCCCCCCAAGGTCCAAATGAGGAGCAGAAGGAGGAAGAAAATGACGAAGGACTGCGAGGGATGCTATCACCCACTGATACAAGGGGTCGGATCTAATGAGAGTTTACCAAGGGCAGTTGGACTGCGACTGAACGAGCACGTGATCCAACCAGATTCTCTGAATGTGGCTGGCTCGGAGTCTTTCTGAGAAGTCATTGACAATGACACTGGGACTAGTTTCCTCTGCATATACTGGATTTTTGGGATCCAGTCTGTTTGGATACTCACCTTCCTGGACCTGGAGGGAGGGGGGACGAACTTGAACTTCCCACAGGGCTTGAAACCCTGACTGCCCTTAGGGACAAAGAGGGAGGAGGAGACGGAGGGGGGGAGTGAGAGGGTGTTGGGAAGAGGAGCATAAATGGAATCTTTTATAATTTAATAAAATTACTTAAAAAAAGAACTAGATGGTTAAGCATAAGATTTGAATATATGTAAGGCTTAGACTGACACTATCTGAGGAAAGGATTTTTTTCACATAATCAACTTTCTTCTATAATATTTAAAGAATCAAATATTTCAGTGTTCTTTTTGCTTAGTGAGTTTGAGATAAAATAGTTTTAACTCCATATTAAAAAGATTGTTCACATGTTTTGGCCTCTGTGGACACAGGCACATACACAGACCCTACACACACACACACACACACACACACACACACACACACACACACACA